CATGACAAGGACTATACGGCGGGTGTGACCGGTAAGCAGGGGATGCACACTCCTCCATGTCACCTGATCCCATCTCTGATGTTTCAGAGGTCAGTGTTTGCTATGCTCCTATTTTGTATGGTTTAATGGACTTTGATATTGAATACTATTCGTTAACTCCGTATCCTTCTCGTTCATAGCTACATTTGATTGGTTAATACAATAACACAAAATAGTAAGTGCAAGGGGCACACAAAGCCATAACAATCAATAACTAGTAATAAGACACATAAGTGATAATTTATAAGTAATACCTATACAAAATAGTACTAATAAATGTTTATTAATATCCACAATTTTTCCTGTAATCGGAGGAGACAATGCCGGTTATTCGTGGCTTGTGTTTGCTTTTTTTCATTTAATAGGAATATTGCACTCAAATTTTAAGATGAGGCCCCTTTTTTCCTATACGAAGCTAATAATAACTTTTAGATTTTACGTTCTGAAAAGTGATATTCGTAAACAGATATTTGTCACAAAAATAATGACTTACCCAGAACTTCCGAGAAATACACAACTGTAATGAAAACATTCAGATACTCCATTTCAAATATGGACAAACAAGGAAATAAAACACATCAATAAACACATAATTAAAAAGGACCGGTTTGTTTTCAAGTTAAAAATAGATGAGAAATTTTCATTTGTTGGCAGTAATGCAAAGAGTTGTTTCAATGGGGTTTTGTAGCAAGCATACGCATTTAAAGAGACAAGAAGGTTCAGTTTCGCAAAGTTTGCAGGATAGAAACAATTAATGCAATTTTCAATTAAAATAACCAGATATGGTTTTGAAGTGTTTTCAAACCAAAATCTCTCTTAGATTCCAGTATGCATACAGTGGCTGGAACGTCATCGTTGACAAAAAAAATCGTGTAGAATCGCTCGTGCATCGTGCGCGATCGTTCGTGTAACGTGCAAGATCGTGCGTGTAACAGACTTAATCGTTTGCGGTTTTAATGCTGCGTGCACGTGCGTTTAGAAACGTGTAAATTTCGTTTTGTAAGTTTTTATCGGAATGTTAACAAGTACTTTGTTTATACTTTATTTATTAATCCAAATAAATGGAATGAAGAGCAGTTTACATATAATTGAATGCGGAACGAACTAACTATTGCTTGTAAACAAGCAATATAGTAAGTCGTACAATGTTATGTTCTCGTATAGCATGACTTATTGTGATAAATCGTACTAAGATCTTTTACTATATTTTTCTGAAGATCATTCTTGTTTGCTGCTAATTTGGGTAAGATATATTTCTTTTAATTTTCAAATAATCTCAAAGAATTTTTTTTTACAAATAAAGAAATATTTTTCAAACCTTTCATAAATGTTTAGTCGGCGAATGTACATGCACGTCACGCACATGATTTTCGGGGTTTTGTTTGACAGTGTTTATCTCTGTAGCTTACTTTTAATAAATTTTTAAAGTAAACAATAATTTGCAATGTCGTTTTTCATGTTTTAGAGATTCATAAACATTTTGAAGTAATGAAAACATATAGCTATAACTTTTAAGTTAAGTCATTTCATGCTGCCATTGATTTCCCAATCGTATCCCCCGATTGACATATCATGAAATCCAATTCAATCAAATCCTACGGTCCACCTACTACTTTCTTCTGATATAACAAAAAATCCGTTTTCTCGTGTCAGAGAATTTATTTATTTAAAAAATTATTTAATATCTAAAATAATAATAAAATAATTTTACATGTATTTAGTACAGAAATACCCATTTCCGTTTTTTTTTCAAAGTCGATGAAAAATATATTTATTAATAATTCTTTGAATCTAAAATCAACATAAATCCGCATTTCGTTTTGGAAATATCGATTCCTAAATAATTTGAACTATTTTGCGTGACGAATCGTGCGTTTGCGGTCATCTAGCAATCGTGTAAGATCGTGTAACGTGTAGAATCGTGTACGTGAAGGATCGTTCGTGTATCAGGTTTAATCGTACGTTAATCGTGCGGATCGCGCGTGTAACGCGATCGTTTGTTTAAGTTGTGAACAATAACGTTAAACCTACTGTACATGCATATGGGATAAAGTTGAAATACATTGAGATTAAATATTATTATTATAGCAAAAGTAAAAGGGCTTTTGCCACGTATTAAAATCTCTTAGAAATAAATCTCTGTTATTTTTTCCTGAAACATATCAATGTCATTGAATGTTAAAATGATTAATTTTTCATTGTTTAACATGGCAATATTTTAGCCATTTTCCGTTGGCCCTGCTGATCTCTTTTTTAAAATCAAGAGAAACGGTCTTTTAGGTGCTAAGGGGGTCTTTGAGTTACAAAAGTATCTTAAAAATGACTATATGTACGCCATGAAAGAATGTAAGGTTTTCGAAGTACAAATCTCCACTAATTAAATAAGGATCACTAGGTACTGCCAATTAAAACTCGTAAATTTAATTGTAAATAAATTTTTACATTTGATAAAAACAGTATACAAGTTGGTCGGAAGATATTTTGACATTGACAGTCGTATTCTTTTTGTGGCACACAATCTCTTATGTATGAAAATTTGATGAATAGAAATAGTCTTGAAAACATAACGAAAAGTGGAAAGGACAAAAAAAAGACAGCTAAAAACATTCCAACGTGATACACAACAATTCCCCACTTTGAATAAAAGGCTGTTTGATATCATTAACAGTTGTTTTTTTTCTTTTAAATAAAAATGGAACTCGTAAATTTATAATTACCTGCAGACATGTTTACGAAAATTTCCTGAGATTGTTCATAAGAAATTTCTGAAGATATATCTTAAGAAAATCCTGGGATCATCGTAAGATTATCTTTTCAAAGTTATCATATAATTATCCTCCCTTACGAAAGTAAAAGTACATGTATTGCACCAATATTGCAAACATATTGCGGCAACATTGAAGCAACACATTTTTGTCACAAGAAACAAGCTTTTTGAGTAAGTGAAATATCACGGCTAGCGGCAACAACTTCCGGTGACATTCTGGCAATACTGCCAGAAAAAAAACTATCTTGCAGTATTACTAGAATGTCGCCAGAAGATCTAGGATTACCCATTAGGCATTTGTGAGCATGCTGATAAGATTGAATGATGTTGAATAGCCAGAAGAAAAAAGAAAGACCAGGTCTTCCAACAACCTATTGGAATACCCCTCGGTACCAATTGCGCTCTGTTACTAGAAGACCTTTTTTGTATTTATATGAAACAGAATATGGGCAAGATTGTATGCGTGAAAATAAAAAAAAAACACTTGCTGTAGCCTACAAATCAAAATTTAGATACATGTATATCGAGGACGTGTTGTTCATTTAAAAAGTAATTTCCATTCCTATGTCGATACAGTATATCCTGGTGAGCTTGAGATAAAAGATACCATGGAGTCTGACACATCTGTTTCATATTTGGATATATCACTTTAAAAATATTAATGGAAAACTAACAACCAAAGTTAATGATAAACATGATGACTTTAACTTCCCTTATTTATCATTGTGTCTTGACACAATTTTCATACTTATTGTAATTCCATTATTTATACACTGATTGAAAACGGATTTTCTCGTTATTTCCCAGTCATGTCAATGAGCACATGGCGGTTGTGAACGATCGGCAGGGAATGCTTACTCCTCCATGGAACCTGATCCCACCTCTGATTGTTCGGTCCGTGTTTTATATTGTTTAATTGGCTTTTGATCTTGAATATTGTTCGTTATCTCCATATGTTTCATTAAAAAAGAAACCATTGACAACGTCGCAGTTCGATATACTATTTAAGTTTAACTTTGTAAATTCTTGATTTAGGTTTTTTGTTCATTATTGTTATATATTATACACTGTACACTGTACATATCTAATCCAGCTGTGAATATCATGCATTAGAGAGGACACTTTAATATTCAATGGCGCCATTAAGAAGTACACAAAATTCCTACTTGATGATGTGCCGGATTCTTTTTAAATGTATATTGGTATGTATGTTTTTTTTTGTTTTGAAAAGTATTATTACTTTAAAAAAATTAAAATGCAGAAAAAGATCATGATCATAGATTAGTGATATTTCTCAGTTGATATAAAACCTAGCAATGATCAAGTCCAAGGCAAAAAAAGTCTTCTCCTGTGTATATTGTAGGCATGCAAACGCCTTAAATTATATCTTACCAGCTAATATACCTCATGTCTTTTCTTTTGTTGGTTTACAGATGAATTACGTATAAATACACTGTACATTAAAATTTTGAACCGATCAATCATTAAGTAATAGACAAAAACTGTATGAAGTAAACGACAAATAAATAATGACACTGTGTCAATGAAATGTATTAACAAGGAAAACCTTAATAATATGTCATCTAATATTCATATGAAATCGAAAAAAATGTAAAATTGGTCACAATTATTATAAACCAATAAAGAACACTTGATTGGGATTTAAAGCAAAATAGAATAGACTGGATGTTTTCTATTAGACAATTTAGAAAAAAAAATTATAAAATTGATGGGGATACAAGGAAGTTATTATTTTGAAAGTTTACAATGACTTTGTATTTTAGAAATGTATAAGGCGCAAACTTATTTTACCTATCTAGGTATCCACTACTTCTTGGTATCATCTGTCCTTAACTGAATATTTTTTATTATCATTTCCCAATATAAATCAATTTGCATAAAGTACACTCAATTCTGTAGATAAAATTTAATAATTTACAAATCAAAATTTCCGAAGAGTTCACATGGAAATTTTCTATAGTGAGGTTGTTCCTACACTTGCCATTAAAACATATGAAGTTTAGCAATTTTTAGTGGAAATGGAATTGTAACTCATTGAATCTGGAGGAATGTCAAAAATATCTACGATTGGAACATCGTAATCTTTTATCTTTCATATAGCATACAAAATTAAACCGTGTAATGAAATGTGAAAAGCAAACTTATTCATGTAGAGCTGACAACAAGGTGAACTAAATCAATTTACAACAAATCGTAAGCACAAGCCAAATAGAAATAGTCTAATTGATGTAGTGGTTTTGAGGTTGCAATGAGTCATATTTGTTTGTTGACTCTGCAGTCACTGTTACAATATTTGACATGTCCAGCTCTGTGTACGTATCTGCGTGGGAATGATTTATACCAGACCGGTCCAATTCACCAAAAGTTTCTTTCGAAGATTTCTTTGCTGTGGTATTTCTGTTAAGAAATAAATACGTTAATTTGTTTGCATTTTTTAATGCAAAATGTTGTCTTTGATATAAAAAAAAACTACGTGAAATTCTTTAAATTCTGCAATATTGATTTATAATGTATTTAAAGTTTATTATGAAATTTCTAACTTACTTGCTTATCATACTGAAGAAGTATATATTGAGCATCACTGACACAACCGCAATCATCACAAAAATCCCCAAAGATATTTGGAAAGGGAGATTTGATTGGCCTTCTTGAACTTCAACTATAGATTTATGTTTCAAATATTGATAACATAAATCAAAAAGTATTACTATTGTATCAAAAGCAGGAAAAAAAACATAGTTTTGATTTAAAAGCAATGCTTCAAAAAGATTTTAAATTTGTTTGGAAAGAAATTCACATGTGAGCATAGTTCTCCATAAAAAAAACATGAGACAAAATGTAAATCGTAACAAAGAGCTCCTACGCATACATGTCTGAAAAATGATAATCTTAAAAAAAAAATAACTGTAAGTCAGATGAACCATCCCTACTTTTGACTGCAATAGGAAATCACATCAACCATAAGGGCATAAAATTTATGCATTACTGATTTTCGTTGGTCTACTTTCTTTGTTATTTTAGAGGAGCTTTGTAATTGAAAGAAATCATACCCTACTAAATTGTAATCTTACATAATATAGAACGGCATCACAGTATAATACGTAAATCACTTTGAAAGAAAAAAAAACCAGTTGCTTTAAAGTGTCATAGGTTTGCTTTTAAATTCTTACCGCTAGTGTGACTGACTGTTTTGTCTTGTAATGTAAAAGGAATCGTAGTCAACAATATTTGAGAACTGGTTTGATGTATTATTGTCGCTGATGTGTCTGTCAAAGATTGTGTACTCGTAAATGTCGATGTTCCACATTTAGCTTCCAAAAGTCCATTTCTTCCTATTGATACACACAAAAAATAATAATGCAATGATATGAAATTGTACAAATTCTTGTTAATATATCAATTTTGTATCAACATATATCAACTGATCGTATATCATCTGTATATCGTAGGGTAAAATGTACATTAGCATGGACGTCTTTTTCTACCAATAGGGAAATTAATTGTATCTCTAAATAAAGTTCAGCCTAAAACTTCCCTTAATCTTATAGATATATTTTTCAAGGAATCAAATTTAATACTTTTAAAATGTACTGGACTAAAATGCTTTAGAAAGTGCACACAAATAATGTAAGTCAAGTCTAATGTTGAATATATTCATCTATCGTAAAGGGAAATAAAATATCAGTTGTGGAAATTTGTCATAATGCATATATGTAAAGGATCAACCACCTGAACATGTACTTGTATTGACATTTTCCGATTCGGTTATGTGATATACAGGGGTTGTTCGGTTAAATTGTGGAAAAGGCGTTTTTCTAAAAAACAAATAATTATAATAATTGGACACTAAGCTGATTTTTTCAGCAAATATTTAAGAACATCTTCGTATGCTGATAAGATATAGACACAACAATGCATCATTTAAATTTTAGTCAATTTCCCGAGCATTCAAAATTGGAAACACAATACAGGAAAATTTACATGCTATCACAATTTATTTAATGAGGGGTTTCATACTGAACCGGATCTAACCTCTGATGATTTGCTCTGATCCAAAATATATTGAATTTCCTCGCCTCAAACATTTATATATCTAATACTACATGTAGTAATGAAAAAAAAAGAAGATAACGAGCAGTACTCCAGATCAAAAGTTAATCAAACAATACACAGTAGAACCAGAGAAAAATGGACCTCTAAAACATCAGAGGAGGGATCAGGCACCATGGAGGTGTGAGCATTCCCTGCCGACCTGTGACAACCGCCGTAGAGCATGCTCTTGAGTATTTAATCAACTGAGATATTTAAATTCCATATGCACTTGATGAAGGTATTTTGCTGCATAAATAAGGGAAGCTGACAATAGAAAAGTTGAAGTCATCACGTTGATCATATAGCTTGGTTGTTAGATTACCATTAACGTATTTTCCAAAAAAAATATCTAAATATGAAACAATGTGTCAGACTTTGTGGTATATTTTATCTCAGGCTACTAGGACATATCGTATCGACATAAGTATGGAAATTACCATTGTTAATCAATAGCACGCAGCTGATATATCTGTATGTCGGGTTGAATTCCACAGCAAATGTTTCCTTCTTTCACGCATTAGATTATTATTTTTTACTTGCGAGTACTTTTTTTCCGTAATTTTGGAACACGGTCTTTTTGCAAAAAAAATTGTGAAATGAAATAGCTAAAACATTACTTCTTGTAAAAAGTAAATGCTTACACTTTTTGAAAAAAATGCATAATTTGCATCTTGCAAAAATTTTATCTTATTCATGTGTTATTCAATATAAATATTTTGAATGTTTACGCCATACACCGTACTTTGGCTGACCATAGTGTAAAGGCAAATCATTATATCTTTTTGTAGTCTATTATACCTTCGAAAATTTTGGGCTTAGGTTTCAGGTTGTTTGAAAATAAAAAAAAATCCACTATTCTGTTTGTTCAAATAAGACAGATTAAAAAGCCTTCTTACCGCCATTTTCCTGAATGCGTAGACAGTGGTAAAAACTTGTACGAGAACTCTCTGATTTGAAGTCAGCTTCCACTGTAACTGGGTGTGTTTTCTTCACTTTAACAGTTGATGATTCAACTTTCTCTTGACAGTTGAAAAGAAAAGTGTTGTTAACTCTTACAAATGCATCACATTGAGATACGTTTACCTCTGCTCTCACAAACAAGTCACCATCAAACGCCGGGATCACAATGCAGTTACACGGTTGATTTATCTTTGTAAAGTCGATATAAAGTTCTGTTTCAGATTTTAATATTCCATCACAACTGCTTATCACAATATTTGGTGCTGCAACGGGACATTTATTAAATATAACATAAAATAAGAAGAAATGTATTAGATTGATTGTGTATTGTTTTACGTCTTTCTTAAGAATATTTCACTCATTGGAGACGTCACCATATGCAGGTGTCAAATTTTGACCTATAGTCGGCACTCAGGGCCATTGAGCAGTGAGGGTTTTTCATCGTGCCAGCACCTGTCTTGACACGGTACCTACGTTTTTAAGGTCATATCCGAGAGACCCGTGGCTTTCACTTCCAGTGTCGAGCGCTTGGCGAAGGGACAGTCACTACCTTTGTTTACGTCTTAGGTATGACGCGGCGCAGCGATCGAGAATCGGGCCTCCTGATCACGAAGCGAACACTCTACCATTAGGCTACTGTGACCGTTGAAATGTTTTAGAGATATTTGTTAAAACGATAGAACACAACCATAATTTTTCTTTAAATTCATTGTTTAGATTAAAAAATGAAAAGAAAATTGTTGTAAAACATGTAGAATAAAAAAAAATGATTATATGCCTTTTAAAATTACACAGTTTTGCACATATAATAACAGAGATGTTTATTAAACCAGAATCAGCGTCTTTGTGTAAGTAAGATTCATTCCGTAAATTTATGCATTGTAATATCTATTTTATTCCTACATGTATGGACAAAATTCTACACATAAATGTATCAATTTAGGAGTACATTTCCGAGTAAACGTAATTTCAAACTTGTAGTGTATGATTCTCTATTCGCTGTAGGTTGCACTAAATGCTTTTATTTTTCAATTGATCAATATAAAAAAAGACCCATTTAGGCAGATTTTACGACAGGCAAGGGGTACAGAGGACCTATTCTAACACGGATTACCACGGGGCCCCAAGTACGACAAGTCCTCACCTTGGGGCCTTGAAATTCACAACTTTGGAAGAGGCACGCTAATTCAATAATGTACGTTGTTAGTTTATTTAACGCCAAGGAGGAGAGAAGAATTACGCATTTTCACTATATAATCTATTTAGCACTTCGATCCCAGGCTGACCCAGGGTCCATGTATTTTACAATTTTGCTTAAAAACTCAATGTTTATAACAATCATACCAGCTGTATTACTGCTTGATGTTCGTAAGTAAAGAAAAACTATTTTTATATATTGCATAGATTTTAGTGGTTTTGGCCCCATTTCTCGGGTCCCACGGGGCAGGGACAATAAAATTCAAATTTTAGTTCCCTGTTACCCACAGATGCTTTATTCCAAAGTTGGTTGCAGAGAAGAAGCTGAAAAAGTTCAAATGTTAAAAACAACGCACACTGCACGACGACGGACGAAAACGGATAGCAATAGGTCACTTGATTTTACCTCAAATTTGTTAACTATGAAATTTCAAATAAATCTCCTGAGATATAGCTGTAATATGAAAAGTTTGATGAGTTCTGTACTTTTAATTTATCGTTTAATTGAAATGAGATATCGAATATCGAATGATTTGTTTAGATTGTTTAAAAATACTTATGAAAATATTATTTATGAATTCTTTAGGTAAACTTAAACGAAAACAAAGTCTGAAACCTTCCTTGTCATTAAAAAAGATTTTTTTTCAAACATTCTTAAACTACAAAGTAGAGAATCAAACTTTTGTTTAATAAAAAAATTGTATACAGATTTTTTTTAGATACTTACAATTCTGTGGACATGAGCCTAAAATATTTTGTTTAAAAATATAAGAAATGGTTAAAACATTATGGATATACAATGCAAAAAAAAATAAACTTAACATCCTCCAACATGTTTATACTTTGTATGTATGGAATAAAATTAAATCTCACGAAAAAAAATCCCTTAGTAAACAATGCCATTTCAAGGACAGTTAGAATTATTGATTGTTGTATTGAATGATTTGTACGATATTTATATAAATAAATTTAAAAAAAAATTTAATAGATTATATGAAGACGTTCTATACAATGTAAAACTCAAAATCAAACTGCCCAGGAACCTGTTGCCTTTTTTTACTTAGAAAGTGCAATAATATAACTAATGAATATTGAATGAGCCAATGTTTATGGCTTTATTAAAGACATATGCAACGTACCTTTACTACTGATAATTTTTCAAGACATTCTTAAATTAAGATTATAGTGTCATCAGATGTTAATAGAAAAAAATCAGCATGCATTACCAGAGGTTTTTGAAAGATAGAAATTAATGAAAATTTTGGATGATTCAAAGAAATGTATATATAAAAAACTAAACATATATTCTAGATGTTTCTTTTATCCAAAATCGTTTTTTGAATAAATGTACAATAACATACGTAGAAATCAAAATATAACATACAGTTCCTTAAAAAATTAGAACACTTAAGCTCCATGGAAAAAGACAGAAAAATTCAAACTATGTTTGATATCGCTATATTTTACATGATTAAGTAACAACATGTGTAATTGTACAAAAATTAATTAATCTCGCTTTTCGTCTTCCTCTCATTAAAAAAAACCATCATTATTAAATAAAGAAAATAAGAGGTCATTTTTCACTGCCATAACATGATCCTTCTTATTATATATAAACTCTTTACCTGAGGAAAATTCTGGTGATTATGTGATTTGAAAGCTGACATTACAGTTCAGACATCAATCTTGTTCTATACACTTCGTATGTTATTGTTTATTTATTTTAGATCGATCACTATTCGTTATCTTCCTTTTCACATAAGATGTTGTCTAACATAAACAATGTAAACTTACCAAAAACTCCAATGACTGAAAGCACAGTTTTTATGAAAAAACATAGACATCTCATTTTACTCAAAACTTCATTTTCCTCGGGGAACAAGGAAGAGTAAACATTATTTCAGTTTCATTTTATTTCATACAGGGCTTTTTAAAAGTTAAAATTAGAAAAGATATTTTCATTCTTAAGCAATCATGCAAGACTATTACCTCGACGAAAATAAATAGCACGGAATTGTTTTTTAAGAAATTTGATCAGGCGAGTCGCCCAAATTAGGTTACACGCATTTTCCCATAGAGATAAATAAAATAGAGATTGTTTATGTGAAAACAACGGAACAAATTGCTGTGCCGATAGATTACTTTTGTAAAAATATAAATTTATATTAACAAAGCAAGGATTGAGAGAGGAAGAGAGAGAGAGAAAGAGAGTTTACAGAAACTTTTACAATGTTGTAAGTTAGCATTTTATGAATGCTAAATTTGAAAGGTGTGGGACATTGAGGGGAGAAACGTAAATGTGCTTACGTACATTTATATCATTTGTAGAATCCTCGGGTAGAGTTTTGAAGTCAATTAAGGGATTAACTAGTTTTGTTATACTTTAAAGAAAGTTTTTGTTGTTTTTTTTTTGCAGATTTGTTGATATTTCTGAACATCTCGTATTCTAATTTAGTATATAAAAAAGAAAATCTCCACTGGAAACTTGTCATCCGACCAATAAAACAACAGCAACATACTTTATTAAATTCCGACAATAAACGAGGTTGTTTGAATAGCTTAAACATAAACTCTTCAGTGCATGTGCATTTAAAAAGTTTCAGAAATTACTGAGAAGCAAAAGAATTGAGAGCCCTATTACTTTATATAAATTAATACAACTTTATACGAATCTTAATATTGCAACTAAACGAAAATTTAACTTTTCTTAAAATGCAAAAAAAAAATATATATATTAGTACCCAAAGCAGGGTCTTTTCACAAAAATACGATTGTGGAATATAAAGGCCCTAGCACCACCAAAAGTTGTTTTTGAAGGGTAGATAAAACACAAGGGTCAAGATCAAAGGGTCAAAGTTGTTGATGTCTGAAGAAATTTCTTGTAACAAGTTTAATATATGTGAAGTAAGTAAACACTGGCCATTACCGTTCAAAAGTTATAGCCCAGGCTAAAGTTTAAAAAAAAAAGATAGGCCAAATTCAGAGGTCATGGTCAAAGGGTCAAAGTTCTTAATATTCAATGAAAGGTCTTGTCACAAAAATTAAATATGTGAAGTACATGTATGAAAAACCTAGCACTTGAAAAGTTATAGTCAAGGTTTGTTTTAAAGGTTAGTGAAAACTCCAACATCAAGACCAAAGGGTCAAAGTTCTTGGTATCCAATAAATAGACTTCTCACAAGAATTACATATATGACGTATGACGGCCCTAGTCCTTATCGTTCAAAAGTTATGGCCAAGGTAAAAGTTTTATCATGAATACTGAAATCTCCAAGTTCAAAGTCAAATTTGTTAGTATCCAATGAACGGTCTTTGTCACAAAAAATACATATGTGAAATATAAAAGTTATAGCAACTACCGTTCAAAGGTTATGGCCAAAGTAAAAGTTTGGAACTTTTGTGAAAAAGCTGGTCAAACTCCAAGATCAAGGTCAATACGTCAAATTTGGTTGCACCCAAAGAAAGGTCTTGTCACAAGGAATACACAGTCATGTTAAATATGAAATCATAGCTCCACTAAATCAAAACTTATGGACAGGGTTAAAGTTTTTGCAGACAAACAGAAAAAAAAACAGACGGACAGACAGACCGACGGCCACCACAAAAATTATATACTTCCGAATCTTCAATTTCAAGGGTATAAAAATGTGGATTAGACTATGCTGACTGGAAGGCGACATAGAGAATGAGAATGAGTTTTAAATATAAAACGCATCAAGCGCGAATTAGTGAATATGGAATTCACCAAGGTCAGATAGAGAGGGACAAGGAAAATGATGATAACTGTTGAAAATTTGGTGACATTCGAAATAAATATATTTTTTTTAGATCTTTGAATAATAAATACGTATATATAATTACATATATATCATGCAGTCTTCAGTCAAAATTCGGAATAAATTAAGAATATACCTATTACATTTGCTTTTATTTCTTTAGTACTATGTAAAACATTGACTTCAAATTTAAATCAGTGAAATTAGAATCACAATCTAAATAATTTTTCAAATCATATAAATTACTTTGGAAACAGACGATTGGCGTCATGATTTTCAAAGTGTTGTTGGAATTGAGTTTGATAAAAATGACGTCGTCAAACGTTTAACCGGCGCACGGATATATAATAAATAGTTTTGAATAAGATTTGTATACATCAGAGACAGCAGAAAAGAGTACAGAAGCAACATTACACACAAGATTTTAAAAGGGAAGTTATTTTCAAATGGCATGAGATTTAATGAGAGTTTTTCCTCTATACCAAAAAAAGTTTCAGCATGTAAGAATTAGAGTACAGTTTGTAAATGTACGCAGACAATGGTGAACAATCTTGGCCACGAACGACGTTAAACAATATGTTTTCTCTGCTACCTACCGTGTATGGCGATCTTTCGACTAAATTTCGACTGAAATTTGAATCTGTTTATAAAAAGTTAACAATAAAACACCGGACAGTTGTGAATTTAAATGAGTCCCTTAGAAAGAAATTTAATTCAGTAAAGAAAAAATAGACTGTTTTATTCATTAATAAATATGTACGCCGAATAAAACATCCTTTAACTAAAGCAACATAATCGGGGTCGTCAAGAAAAGCTCGTATGATATATGCTTAATCTGTAAACATAAAATAACTAGTATTTTGTTTGCAGTCTTTGTTTATGTAAACTGTTTCATAATATTATTTTTAGACATGAAAATATACATTTTCCATTCAATTATTTATTTTTTCATTTTAATGTAGCTAATCTGCTTTAAAATTCAAGCAAACCAATATACATGTATAACTTTAAAAATAATTTAGATTCAAGCATTTAATTGTTAATAAAAATGCATGTTCCATTTCTGTTAATTACAATTTGATCTTGTAATTGTTTGGAATAAGTGAGGTTACAATTAAAAATATCATGATTTGTGTCAATTTTCAAAAATCAATACACACAATGGACAATCCAGAAATTAATAACAACTCAATTGTTCATATGTTGAAAATTAACATTTTGTTTCAAGATATCACATACTAGGTCTTTATCATTAAGTTGATTTTGGTAAAGAACTGCAACCTGAGCCATATTAATATCAGTTACTTTCACTTGGTACTTGACAGTGTCACCAGAAAATTCTTTAGTTGACATGTTTTGGGCATTTGGTATTTCTTCACCTTCAATTGCATTAGAGGAATTGTCAAAGTCCCTTGAACGTTGTTCAAGTGTGCCTTGCCGATTGTCAGAGGTAACGGTGTTCTCAGAAAAACTGTATTCATGAGTGCGAATACTACGTGTGTACGTACCAATGGTGATATTAGAACCTTGCTTCTCAGCTTTGGATTTCTGGATTCTTAAAAAAGAACAAATGATTAAAAGTTGAAAAAATGTACACGTAAAATGCATTTGATATAAGGAGTTTAATCCATTTTACAGAAATGGTTTAATGTGAGAATATTCCAGGTGCATTCATAAACAGAAGTCCCTGAGAAGCAGACTTTTTCATCACAAATTTACAAAATCTGAATTTATACACTCAGGGTATACCAGTATACGTTTTTTTTCTATTTGTTAATTTTAATCTCCTTAAATTATCTATATAGATTACATGTACCTGCTGCATATCACAGCCAAAATAATCATCACTAAGCAGACAAGTATTCCACCTGCAATGGCATCTGTAATATACAAAGTTTTATCAGAATCAATTCTGTTTATAATGATTTTGTCGAAATATTTAAATTTTACTGGACAGTCAAAAATTTATATTTCATTATATGTTGTATTTATGCAAGCTATCAAAATCTATTTATGTGAGTTTTGTTTAAATAATTAGTTAAATGTGATAAAGTATTGCTGGAAAAGAAAAAAAAATATGTTCATGTACTTGTCAAGACAAATGATTTAATGAAAGGGTGTCAACATAGAAAAGAAATAAATTATATTTTTTTTACATTTGGAAACTGATTAATTATTCAGGCTATTGTTTCATATACATGTATATTATATATATATTTATAAATTAAATTGTTGACCTATAAAACAAGAACTTTGGTGATTACATACAGCTCTTAGTATCTTATTGGACGCCTGACTCATGTAATTTGACCATTTACTTTGATACGTACTGAAATGATTATTCCCTTACTTACATATCTCCGTAATATACTTGATACTTGGTGTTTCGGTGTGATTGGTTGAGTTATTTGTATTTTGAGTAGTAACTTCTATTCTTTTATCGCCACAAGTTACTTTTACAAGCCTTCCTGGTGAACCTGAATCAATAAAATTTGATATCATCAACAATATCGTTTTTACTCGATTTCAGTCAACATTTTGTTAAGGGCGACAAAAGACAGCATGTTATTTATTCAGGTTTTTGTGCTTGACATGTTTCACAAAAAATATTCTACCCTTATTTCCATACCTAAGCGTTCTCAGATTTTACCCGATCATATCAAGGGACCAACAGAGGCTGTGACAGGTTAACAGAGATGTTTACGCCTTTATGGATTTTGATGCCAGCTCTGTCGATTAAAGACGTCCGTGTTAACCTTGCTTTTGAATCTGTTCATTTATAAATATTGCATGTAGTTGACTGTACCATTGAAAATTTTCACCCCTCGAAAACTATTGTCAACGGAGGCGCAGCCAAGGTTGACAATGGTTTTCGAGGGGTGAAAATTTTCAATTTTTATTCTTAACTAAATGCAGTATTTATTATATTATACCGAATGTTTTATGCAAATACATATTACTGCCAGTGCGCGCATCAATTCTGCGCAGTCGCTATTTTTTGGAATACCACCCGTCGTCAAGCAATATTGACTGTTGCTACGCTGAAGGGCGTGGCTTCATTATTCAGCGGGTAATAGTGTTTTTAGCAAATGTTTCTCGACCAATCAGATTCAACTTTTTTACATGAAAGTATAATTTTATTATTTAATGCACTTTTGAACATATTATGTATTTGTTATCATACGCGTCATATGGAATAAAGACTCCGGGATAAAAAAGTCGGAATTAAGCTGTTTGTCAATCTTGGACACCATTTAAGCTTCAACGTCCTTTTGCTGTAGAAGTACCTTTTTATGCGTGGTATTAATTTACGCTATGTACGCGTCAAATATTTTTCGCGGAAAAGCGTACCTAATTTAAATGTAACGCATATATTGAGAATAAAGAAAAACAGCGTAATTTCCTACCCGTGGATTAAACAGAAATTGGGATTCCGCGGCATTATGGCCCCGTGGAAAAATGTACGTCAGACTCTACAGTAATTGATACACATGAAAAACATGCTAAAATCTATGGTTGGATCAGGTACAAGGAATAATTTAGAGGGCGTTGTTTGTCAACCCGTCACTACCGCCTATTTGCTCCCTGTTATGTTCTGGTAATCGAATAAAAATGCATAATAATATATTGTGAAAATATATGGCCTGGGAAATTTATATTAAAAAAGTGTACATATTTGATTAAATAATAGAGTGTTCTGCTGAAAGACCCTACTATCAGGATTAGCAAAATGTTAATTTTAAACATTACAGTAACTGTAAATATTCTTATCATGTAGTGTCATTTAGAAAATACTCACACATACATGCAGAGCATATTTTTGCTTATTTAATCAACTGAGAGATATAAACTCAACATGGAGCTAATAATGTTATTTTAAAACATAAATAAGAGGAGGGGACGATAGTTAAGTTGCCAACACCTTTTTCATATAGTTTCCTTATAAGATACTTGATTTTTAAATGCTGAAATTCAAATCTTAAGTTCACAACAAGCAACAAGTTATTTTCCAGTAAAGTTTATGAAGATTAGTATATTCTACATGAAGATCAAAATTAAAAAAGTGCTTACTTAGTGAAATATTGCATGCAAAAAGAAAAAAAAAGAACCTAAGAGAAGAGATTTAAAAAAGAAAGATTTTAATAAAATTAATTTACCAGCTGATTTCTCTCGAACTATAACGCAGTGGTAAAATTCTCCAGGCCTTTTGTTTGCTTGATATCGTGAAATGACTTTAATTGACGAGGTATCGTTAACATCAAGACTTGTTGCAACATCAGCATCAGTAGGGCAGTTAAATATTTTATCGCCGTCAATAATTAGTTCAGTTAAACAAGAACTATTTACAATTTGTTGAGCATAAATTAATAAGCTTCCTTCAAATAACGGTTTCACGTGACAAGAACAAGGTTCTCTTATCTTATTAAAATCTATGTATAAAATTTCTCCTTTTCTTTCAGATCCATCGCATCTTATAATTGAATTATTAGAAACTGAAAAGAAAGTGAAAGTATAATTTTTAATTTCTTAAATACAAATGTATGTATGTCTAGTAAAATTTCTTAATTTCGGACAAAAACGATTCAGATGTTCTCTGAAGAATTATTGGTTAGGTAAAAGGATAAAATTCATCTTTCAGTTATAAACGTTAATAAAAAAAATCCCTACCTTGCAAATCGCATTGTCCTTCAAATAAAAACAAAGCAAAAATTAAAAAGCGTTTAATTTTTGAAATTGTTTTAATTCTTTGTATCTTTTACCCATCAATACAAAATACTAGGGCCATTTAAAAGTTTTTTTTTTTAATTTTTGTCATTACAATTTCATTGACCGTTGAAGATACACATATATTTCTTATAAAAAGCATAAATACTTTTAGTTAAAACATTGAATATTTATTAAATTTTATTAACTACTCAAAGATTAAAGACATCAGAAACAGGGTCAAGGAGCAGGATCAAAACTGAATTCTCTAGTAATTAAATACTTTATAATGTTTATAATCATACCTCTATAAATGGCGTTTAAACAAAGTAACAATTTAATACTGAAATGAAGTAATCTTTTTTTCTTTTTCTCATGATGATGAAAGGTCTTCAATTCGCCCTACAGACATTGCTCTCTAACGACAAACAAACTTATTTTAAAAAAGGATAAGAAATCATGATGTCGAATTGAAGAACGTCTTAAAGCAGCAAGTACTCGGGTTCGTATTCTGGTACCTCTTAACCAAACAGGAAATATGTTAAAAAAAAAAGGTGGGTCTTTTATATACACTATACATGTATACATTTAATAATAACAAAGTTTGAACGGTAAAGCCTTGAATGAAACAATAGACGGTCTGCGCTAAAATAACATATAAGTTTTAAACGTGTTCAATGGAAATAACACATTTATATCTAACCATGTGTATTAAAACTTTACATGCTAAAAAAATTAATCTGAAAATGTGCCGACCTTTTATCTTGTGAAAAAGTATGACGAGGAAGTACTTTGTGTAGAATGTATTTTTAAACGACAACTGAAGATTTTATTCTCTTATTTGAGTATGAATAATTATCAGCAAGAAATTCAGTTTGATTAGCAGAAGTAAGAATAGAGTGATTCATACACTAAAAAATCAAATGAAAAATAACCAGACAATTGAATAATGTCGGAAAAAATATGTTAGTTTTGTTTCTTTTTTCGACAAAAATATGAAGATAATCCATAAACATCATTATATACTTTCCAAAGTAAAAACTTGTGCATTAATTTTGAAATCAATAGAGAAAAATGTGTATCTAATGCATTAAGGCTATATATAGATCTGAAGTGTTTTCCATTTATATTGACCTAAGTATAGAAACGTCCTAATTCTACGCCTTAGGGCAATATATTAGAAAACCGGTTTCGCGGTGGATTTTAAAAGCATTCAAATAATGTAATCTATCATTTTTATTCATAATAGACATTCAATATTTGTCCTTCCATGTCTAATTATTAATTTTATCTACAGTTTTTAAAATCAATTTAATGTAAACGATATCAATTTCAATTTTTTCTTTGTAAATCAACAAATTTTCTTCTTAGTATTTAGAATTTATTTACTTTCATCTTAATGAACCGTTTGATAAATGCGCCTTTCATCAATGATAATACTAAAATAATGTCAAAAACGGTGAAATAATGCATGAATTCCTTTGGCAAAAAAGAAATATATTGTGATATTATCTTTAGAAAAGTTTCTTTTTATATATTTTATATATACGTCTACTATGTTTTCCGCTCTTTAAAAAATATTTCGTTACCTTTAAGATTCCTCGTGTTTAGGTGTTTTGTTCGAAGCGAATGTTATTAATTCATAGCAAAAATAAAAAATCTCAATAATTATCATAAAACCTACATTTGGTTTGTGTGACAACTAAAAAAATGATATTGGTTTTCGGAGACACTGTTCAAAGTTTTAAGCCGAATTTAATATGATAGTAAACCCGAATATAAATGCTACTAAACAAACAATGTCATACCTATAGTTGGTTGCACCCAAACTGATGTTGATATAATCAATATGAAATATCGCAATTTATCCCAATCACGGAAGCATAAACTTGACATTTTATACGAGTAAGCCAAAATATATTCCGATATAACAGAAAATAAAAACATGAAAGTGCATATGAATGTGATACGGAAGTTCAGAAAATAAGGTGTCGTCTAAATTTAAAACCCATATTCCACTTGACTTCATGACGTAATGTAATCTGCATTCTTTGAAAAGAAGACAAACTCAAACATGACAGTTTGATAGACAAATATTTGTAAAATATTCATTATAGTGGTGAGTGAGAAAGAGAGAGAGATTATGAATAAAGTAGTTTGTCGATTCAAAATAAAAAAAAAACATATTTTGAATGGAACGTTATTTAATTTTTTTTTTGTATTAACAGAAAGAGTTGTATATGTATTTGACATATGGTTTTTCATGCAATGAAATGACATCGTTTTCGGTTTTTATTTATAAATATCATCAAACTCTGTATCATTGAATAGCAAGATTGATAGAGGATATTCACTGTTTTATAGTTGGACGTGGAATTTATGCTACAAAAGACACTGGGTTGTATTTTACATCTCCAAAGAACGCGTGAAAATATCAATATTTCTTCTTCACGATGGAAATGAATTCCTTATCTAACTACAAAATATAATTTCATTTCTTTGCATACCGTTTTCGTTTTTGTAATACGTATCCAGCCTGTGACGTCATAATTGGGCGGATGGGATGCAGAAACACAAACGAGATTGAAAACATATATTTTCCAATCAACTATTGTCCCCTACTTTAAATAGATTTAATAACTTTAAACTTTTCACTCTATTATCTAAAACATGAGGGGTGATCAAAAAGAGTAACCCTCTGATTATAATGCATATCTGCCACCGTTCTGTCTATGTATGAATCACGGGATAGCTTTGAAGCATTCTATTCATAGACACTGAAATATTTTCCCGAGTCATATATTTCTTACCATGCAAGTTGATTTTTATTACAAGAACAGTCCATTTGTCAGAAATGACCAAATCTCGGAAAAGAATGGTTAGACAAGCATATACTTTCCCAGAATAAAACATGGTGACTGTAACAACCCGAGTCCTTCTGTCTTAGGAACGTCGTTTTTCCAATATGGATATATTTGTACGGGTCATCTTTTTTATCATATTTAATATATTAGAAGTTTAAAATTAAACGATATTTTAGGGATTTAATAATGACATTATAGTTAAGACAGTCAACAATTTTTATTAGCTGTAACGGCGCAATCTTTCAAAACCAATTCCCTAACAAAGGCCACACATCTTCCTCGACTTGCTTTCGCTGCGCTACAAAACAAACTTAATTATTAACCATCTCCCTCCTTCCACTTAAACAATCAATCCAATTTATTATTATTGAACGTCTTGAAAGTATTGTCTTCATAAACCTTGTACAAATTATTGTAAGATACTTCCAAAGAATTTCCAAGTTATACGTTAAACTCTACAGCCGTTATTTGCACGAGTAAGTCTGTGACAACCATTTTTTTGTCATGAGTCACAGGTCTACATATTGACGTCACATTCACATTTCGACGTCACAAAGATGAAGGTGTTCCAAATCGTGGTTTTGTGAATATAGAGATAGTTCGTGAAGTTTGTGATCAGCCCTAGTATACTGAAAACGTTTGAAGAAAAACAATTTAAACAATTCAAATACTGCATATACTGTGGTGATGCTACAGTAAAATTACTTCTAGGTATTCTGGTTTTGATTTATTTATCGT